TGTGTTGCAACACCTCAGTGCGCTGAGATGTTGAGCTGGAGCGATGATATAGCGGGAGAGGTATATCCGTGGTGTGGTATGACGGAGCAACCGTGGAGGGCGCTCCAAGAGATTTGACCGAAGACGAGCGCCGACGGTGATGCGATGGTCGGAAGGGTTCAGTAATCTTGCTCTTGAGGCTAGGGCGACGTGCTGGCAAACGACCTCGATTATCATCGGGGTCAAAAGATAGAGGACTGGGAGGAAAGGCATCTTGATCCCGCAGGATTTGCGATGACGACGAGGACGTCGAAGTGCGAACTGGGGTAACTGCAGGCATACTCTTTATGCGCGAGGGCTTAGGCTTTGCTTTCGGTGAGGGCGTGGGCATCGGCGGTGCTGCATCATACAGATACTCCTCTTGTCGGCTGCTCCTGCTTGTAGGCGTGGGCAATGGAGGTGCTAGTTCGTATAAGAACTCCTCCGGTCGACTGTTTCTGTTGGACTTCCCTGATTTCGATGACTTCGTCGACTTGCCAGAGCGGAGGCTTTCACACGAAGTCTTCCGAGCCACTCCTCCTTGAGCATTACTCCCACTACGCCGTCGTCCGCCCATATCTGTTGAACTATGAGAATGATGATGATGGGGTTTGTGGTTCTGTGGCGAAGGCGGATTCGGCGGCGTGCGTACGGGATCCAGGGTTGCGAGTGTCGCCACTACTGCAGATGCCGAAGTCCGTGGCCGTGCGGGACGCTCCGCGTAAATCTTTTTTGGGTTGACGACGTTGAGGGTCTGTATGGCACGATCCGCATCCCCCCATCGCTCCCACCACACACGAAGAGTCTCTTCCGAACCTGCGTTGCGTTCGCCCTCCACACGAAGTGCGTCCCACAGATCAAACCACCTGTCCCGCACTTCCGCCCAGAACTGGGCCTGCATATCAGCAAACATGACGACAGCTGCACCTGTGCCGGTGTTCAGAAGTGAGAGGTATTGTGGGAGCTCGGCACAGAGCTGCCCTCGAAGTGCAAGGTAGGATTGTGATGCCTCGAGAAGCGCTGGAGGAGGGCGATTCTTTGAGAAATTGAGGTTGGCTAAGCCGTAGTGGAGGGGCTCGAGAGTGTTCATGGCTTCTATGAGCTTGAAAGGTGCTTTCATCGACTCCTTGAGGGAAGCCAGGTCGGCCAAGAATATTTCCTTGATGCCAACTTCGAGATCGTGGCTAAGATTAACCAGATCGGCGACCACACCCATGAACGCGTCAAATGCCTCCGATTTCTGCTCCTCGGAGAGGCCGATGACTTTTCCAAATGCGATTGCCCAGTCCTTCAGGCGAAGGATGACAGCGTGGGCCGAGGTTCGCCAATCCACAGCATCCTTTGCAATTTGTTTCAGGAATGCGGGGTAGCGCTTCAATTCAGCCTCTAGTGCAGCAACCTGCTCTGCCTCTTCGTTGTTTTCCTTCACTTTCACTCCTCGTAGGCTCTTCATCCTGCTCAGGTTCACCGAGGCTGCTACGCCCACGCCAACACCTTTCTTCTTGGGGGCGTCACCTGTTTTGGCATTGAGAACCTCTTTGACGACTTCCCACCGTCTGCGGCCTTCGTTCACGCCTCGTGCGACTTCTTCCATTTGCGTGCGGGCGGCGCGAAGATTCTCTTTGTCCGGATGCGTGTCCGCCGTTTCGTCGATGATAGCGCCGAGGAGGAGCGAGTATTTGAGAAGACGTTGGACGGGTTTGATAAGGAGCGACGGAAGGTCCCAAGCATGCGTCAACGATGATGCGAGGGTGCGGGTACGCTCTAAATAGGTTGTCAGAGCTGGAGAAGAAGGAAGTGCCTGAAGATGTGCCAGCGCCGTCGGGTGACGAGTGATGTAAGTCTTGTACGGTGGTTCAAGTGCTGGTATCTGTAAGCTTGTCAGTAGGCCCGAGGAAATCAGAGAAGGGGAAAGACTTGTAAGACCCACAAGTTCGAGAAAGAGTTTTCCAACATGATCTTCACCTACTCCGCCCTCCAGCACGGAGCCGAGCGCTACCTCGAGACGCTCTACAAACTGATTGGCGAATATCGCCAAATCAGCAATGTTTCCAAAGATGATACGGGTATCGTCTCGACTCATAGGGGGTCCGAGCTGAGAGGATGATGTGGATGAGTCTGAGGCTGTGGAAACAGTGCGAGATGAACAGCCTGATGATAATGCAGGAACAGCAGGAGTTGTGACGCTGAAGGGTGCGGGTTGACCTGTAGAGCCGTCAGAACGGATGGCGATAGGATGCTTAGCACGGAACAAAGGGGATGAGAACGCACCTAGAGCCAGGGGTATGTGGATATCTCGTATCAGCGCAAGATCAGAGGCGTAAGCTCTCTCGGAGGTCAGCAGCTCTAGCAACGCATGCGTGCGCTTTGTTATTACGGGCGGGTTGAGCAGAGACGAAGTTGATGACGCTGCATCGTCGCGGGGGCTCTCGGGCCTCATCAAAGGTGAATCCGGGGGCGCTGGAAGAGCCTTCTCAGGAGTAACTGGTCGAGAGGAGTAGAAAGATGCATGAGGGTCGTGATCGGCTTCAAGAATCTCTAGCAGAGCGGACAAAGAGCCAAGACTAGGTCGGCGTAACAAAGGCATGATGTCGAGTGGTGGAGAAGCGGTTTCGTGTTCCGGCGGAGTTGCCGGTTCTCCTGGCTCGTCACCGAGGTTGACGCCTGTGGAGCCTGGCGCGCAAGATGATTGTGATTCTGTGGGGATGACTATAGACGAACTTGAAGCTCGCGAAGAACGGGGCCTGAGGGGAGAACGGGGTGGGATTGGTGGCGATGGTTTGGGAACGTCAAAGTCCGACCTTGGGCTCGAGGGTAATTGAGCAGTGGCGGTCTGAGGTTTTGATTGTAAGTCATTCAAACTTGGAGGGCGTTTGTAATTTCGAGGTGGGCAGACGATACCCACGCGGCGAGAACGAGGCACGTTTGAAGAATGCGCGATTTGGCCGCTGCTAGAAAGGCTATTGCTTCCAGGCTCAAGTATGTTGCCAGACTCAGGATCGGAACAGCCGAGCGAGTGAACAAGGGGTTCGATAGCAGCGTTGGCGGTGTCCTCGAGGCTACCATCCAAAGTCGTGGTGTTCCTTGATCCAAACCCGATACCTGTGTCGGACCCTCTTGTGGAGTTTTCGGCTCCGTCTGCGGTGTCATCGTCCACTGAGGTTCCATTCGCGATAATTGCAGGCCCGTGCTCTGCCATGCCCACTGCTTTCCTCTGTGCTTAGTCCGCTACCGCAGCTTATCGTCTTGCTATTTCCTCAGTGTGTCGCACACGTTGAACCAACGTTGCAACGAGTTCAGGTGACTATCAATTCGTAACCTTCTTGTGCGAGCGGTCCCCGCCAGCTGCTGGATACACGACCCATCAGCTACGAAGCTCACACACACACAGAACGAAAGAATCCTACGATAATACGGTTTGCTTGGAGTTGCCAAAAGGGTCAAAGTTGGTTGGTTTCCGAGTCTTGTCCGCGCGGCAAAGCAAGGCTGATTGACCCGCGTAACGTCCACTTGAGACCGTGAGTGCTCTCGGTAATAAAGCAACGTTTCTAGTCGTCAAGTCGTGGTATAAAGTACAGTGTTGAACTCATGGAGAACGCGGACATGGCATGTGTGAGTACTGGGAGGCGGGTGCCGGATCACCGGTGTCTCTTGGCTGGCGGACCCCATCGACGTCGGCTGCCAGCTCACAGTGACAGAATCAAATGCAGGCATGTCAAAAGCCCTTATAATTCACCGAAACGTCTCCTGCAGCTCCACCTTCAGGTGATCAGTCACACAACAAATCTCACAGGAAGCAGACGAGATTAGAACTTGGGGTCAGTGCTTGGGACGAAAACAAATAGTCGGCATTCTATTGTAATGAATGTTGTATAACCACATATTGATGAGCACAGGTCACCTAGAATTTGTTGGCCACTTGCAGCAGTACCAACATTACAACGGAAAAGACAACATCGCTGGAGACAGCTGCCAACCAGCTTTTACCGAGGATCACTGGAGTAAAGTCCGGAACTGGCCCGTGTCTCGTATATTCAGTCCCGTTGCCCGAGGAAGCCCGAGGGTGGAGACGTCCTGGTCCTCCCGCAACGAGTGCGTTGAATGATAAGGTGCGCGAAGTCCGATGTATCGGATGAGATCAATCAGCTATCAAGAGATCAAACATGTGCAGCAAGTGTGCATACCGCGGTATTGTATTACCGCTGCTCGCCAGCTGTGAGCACAACGTCGAGTAAGTGGATGGGCTGGAAGGAGCCGCCTCTGATTCACCAACAGCCGGAGACCGGGTCTAGAGCTTCCTAAAGTGCTGCAATCGTGTAGTGGTGATCTCTTGCACCGCGACCTGCGCAATAGTTTGGAAAACTGATCAATGAAAGACTATAAATGGCACCGCGAACCACAAATCAGAGTCCCTCAGCTGCAAGCCCGTTCGAGTCCTGGGCTGGCGAACAGTCCAGTGGCAGGTGCAATGATGAGAGCTGAGCAAGCTGGGAGGACCTGAGTCGCACTGTCACTTGTTGTGTTATCGGAAGTAGATATCCCAGTCAGCCCGCACTAGTTTTATACTGTTGGGAAACCCTGGCGGCCGGCCACCCAGCGAGCGCAAAGGTGAGCATCGAACAAATGGAAAAACTTGACAGTGCGCTTCCGAACGTTGTAGCACCTCCATTTTTGGCAATATATCGGACATCGAACTGAGGTTAGTGATGCCGAGAGATGCCGAGCCACCGGGTGCGCAATCCAGCGCTGGCAGGATCATGCCGCAGTGATGCGGTGGCTGAAACTTGCTCGGAGTCAAAAGAAAATAGGCTGAAAAAAGTCCGGATCGCTACAACGTTCGGAAACGCACTGGAATCGTGGAAGGCCCTTGAAGTCGGGGGTAAGGGAGGAGACCATTTGGCCACATTGGCCAAACACGACCATCTTTTGCCTTTTATCGGAGGTCGACCTCAACCGGCACCCCGGCAAAAATATATGTATTTAGGTGCTACCAGGGTTCGAACCTGGGTTTCGGGAAATTTATTGCTTACGTAAGAAAGCTTCAAAATCCCGAGTGATAACCACTACACTATAGCACCGTTGATGGGCATCGACCCGACACCCTCCATGTGCTCTTTCTCAATTTCGGGCATTGGGGAAATGCTGGAGCCAATGAGTATCTAACCCGGTAATATCCTTTTTGGGAGTACTTGTTTCAGTCTCCGACGGTACATGTCCATTCCCAAGCGTTTTTGCACCTGGAGATTATCGACCCAGCGCTGCTCTGCGTAAACTCGGAGAACATGATTCATACCCATGTCTGCAGCAGATGCTATCATTTCATCCACCTCTAGTCAGAACCCGTTCGAAAAATATCAGATTGAAGAAGAAGCCGAGCTCGAAGTCGGAGACGCAGCAGAGGAGCCTGACGTCAAGGATGTCGCCAGCGAAGAAGACAGCGATGATGATAATATAGAGCAAGAGTATAATATCTATGGAGAAGGAGGCTATCTTCCATCATTTCACCGGCATCTAGCCGCGACCCAAGCCCATCTGGCGGGCTCAATATTACCATCTGTGCAGCTGGAAGACGCGGCCACGGGCAAGCCTCTGCAGAGATCGTCTGTGTGGCGCTCGAGCACTACTACGTGGAGCCAGTCCGAACAGAATCTGTTCTTCCGTGGGCTGGCTGTGCACTCACGCTGGCGGCCCGACCTGATATCCGGTGTGGTGCGGACAAAGAACGTCGCCGAGGTGTGTGAGTATCTGTCCGTGCTCGAGGAGAGCGCCCGGGCGCTGGAAGAGGATGGTGGTGACGCGGGTGGCGGGGTCATTCATGAAGCGGCGATAGAGATGTCAGACGAGTGGGTCGAAGTGGAGGAGCTCATGGCGGCCGAGGTCGCCGGACACGAAGACGAGTGGGCGCGTGCGAGGATCGAGGATGCGAGGGGGGAGGCAGTGAAGCGGAAGAGAAAGGAGATGTTTTCGTCGAAAGCGAAGAAGCGCAAGACCGAGCAGAGTGAGGAAGTTGTCATGTCCGCGGACGAGCGGGAGAGGTTGAAGGCAAGGTTCAAGGAGTGGAAGGCTTCGGAGAGGTTTCAGTGGGACAGGGAGGATCTATTGGCGCGGCTGGAGGCTGTACACTTGCAAGTTTTGGACACGATTCTCAGAGAAGGTTTGGAGAGGAGGGCCGACGAAGAGGATGACGAAGAGGACGCATCCACCTCGCAGGGGGGTGGACGTAAAATCGATGCGATGACTCCTAGCTTGGATAGGATGAACGTCATCTCGGATAATATGATTGACCCAGCACTGCTTGCCCTGTCTGGGAACGGTACATTTTAAACTATTCACCTGGAGCTTTATCTGACGCAGATTCACCGTAGCTCCGTCAACAACTATAGAACTTGACACTTCAGATGCTGTGCTTCCTACCACATCCACAAGCTATCTCTCGCTCGCTAGCACGACCCTTGTCGAGCCTACTCGAGCACCTTCACTCCCTGTCGCTCCGTCTGAAGACGCGCTCAATTCTGGGAATGTCGACGTGGCGACCATGTCCCCCACATCGCGCCGACGCTACCAGAAACGCCTGTACATGCGGCGCAAGCGTGCGCAGCAGAATGGTGAAGCAGTCGTTACGGACATTACGCGTATGAAACCCGGGCGCAAGGATCGCCGAGCCAAAGAAAAGACTCGGGACAGCGGTGAGGTGGTAGATACTCAATCGCACACTCCTCCCGAGCCGGCCTCTATGCCGGCGAGCCTGTCGTTACCGCCAGTAGATGCCGAGGAACCCGAGGAAGGAGAGAACAAGCCAGCTCCCCGGCAAAAAGTTCGCGGCAAAACGCGATTTTACAAGATCAAGGCCGAGTTTGAGACCGCTGGTATCAATGCAGGTTGGCTGCGAGAGCACAGCATGGACCTGCTTCATCCCAGTGCATTAGGGAAGCTCATGGGGTATATGTGCCGTACATTCTATGCTATTTCTAGGGATTTACCCATTGCCTTAGCGTTTACAGGTCCATTGAAGACGTGTCTGACGACTCCACGACATCGTTTGCGTCCGCCGATTTGTTACAGTATTTGCAAGCGTGTGTGGTAGCATTTTTGACGGACGTTATGCACCATGTCATTGTGAGCCGGGAACAGGAGGGAAAACTGAAGGCGCGTAGCAAGGTTTGGAGAAGTGCCCTCGATCAGGTTAGCTTCATTACAGCCAACCTCATCTCCATCACTGAAACCCTTCCGTCCAGATCGCACCCGCAGCCATTGAGCAGGCTGTGAAGACGGTGAGCGGGAAGAGTGCGGATAGGAAGGCACATTTCGCGAGATTATTTGCCCACCATGGTGTCCCTCCCTCCATAAATACGGGGAAGGGGAAAGGCACCGCCACCGATGGCTTTGATGGCGATCTGGAGCAAGGGAATGATAAGGATCAAGACAACATGTTCCCCCTGCCGAGCCTGCCTGCCTATCGTGAGATCCACGCGCCCATTGTTCGGCCACCAGCTGCCTTCTCCGCTGATCTCGGATTCATCGATACACTGGCACTCTCGTATATGAAGGAGGCCAGGCGATCGCGGATTGCCCGTTTCTCTCCCCCCAAAGAGGCAGAGGAGAGCATGGATTTATTACCCGTGGAGACGGACGAAGACGCCATTCTTGCCGAGCTTGCAGAGGAAGATGGCGTGGACGAGAGCGATCGACGGGCGGAACAGGCTTACGAGGGCCATCTGTGGGGCGAAGTAAAAGGCACTCATGGTACATTAGCTGACGAGTAAACAGCTGTAGCATATGAATTATAGCGGATAGACAGCGGAAGGGGTCCGTGCGCGGCAGTAACCGCTGGGTGGGAAAACGAGATTGCTTGAGCGGGAAGCGTCGGGTTTCAGGTTTATCTCAGACTCCAGTTTTCTTCTTCTTCCATTCACGTCCGGTGTAACGTACGTTCGTTGCGTTCGTCGTTTACCGCCCTCTATTCCCTGCGACTTTCTTTATTATTCGTTGGGAGGGCAGCCGTGAATTCAAGAAAAAAACAGTATTTCTCTTTATCAACGTTTACCCAAGTTTAAATCTATCTATACACACCGCACTCTTCACTCCACTTTTTGTGCGTGTCTTTTTTTTGCCAACTCAACCACACTCGTTTGTCTGAAGAGAGCTCTACCCCGGGCTCTTACTGTCCCCCCACGGTCCCTACCTCGGTCTATCGTTCTTTCTCTAACTCTGTCCTCTTTTTTTTTTCTACAAATATTCCGCCGTTGCCTTCCACATCCATCCATTTGTTCCCGTATACCTCCTACACTCTCCCTACCGCAACGATGGACGACTCTCAGACAGTCTTCGCAAGTCACTACCCTTCTTACGGTTTTGATCTCGATATGATGAAGGTTCGTTTTTTTGCTCTTGCGACCTGATGGGCGTCTCGTGACTTTCCTTCCGTATGTTCAGAGGTCTATGGATTCCACCGGTGGTCCTGACGCTAAAAAAGCTCGCTGGTCGCCCACTTCCTTCAATGGGTCAAACGGCAGCAACGGTCTTTCGGCTGCTCCCAGTGCAGCGACTCGTGATGCGTTTGCCAACTACGGGTATGGCCCTCAAGCCAGCATATCACAATCTGCTTTCCAAAACTCCTCTCCCGGATTCACGCCGAATCACCTATACTCGACGCCATCACTTACCATCAACACGGCCGTCAATGGCGGTGGCATGAATCCGCAGATGAGCCCACACAATCACGCCGCATTTGCCCAACAACAGCAGCAACAGCAACAGCAGCAGCAACAACAACAGCAACAGGCCAATGGCGCCTATGGCGGTGGTTTTGGATACAACATGCTTGGCATGGGTCTTCCTGGCATGAACATGCTTGGTGGTTTCCCCTACAACGCTCAAATGGGTAACTTTGGACAGGTGAGTTAACTCAACCATTGACCGCGTGTGCGCTAACCTACAAAGTACGATGCAATGCAGAACTTTAACCCGCAGCAGCGCCTTCCTTCTCTCAATGTTAATATTCCGTCTGCTCCCAGCGCGTACTCCCCTGCTGCCCTGAGCGCTGCCCTATCTGCGACGACGAACGCGACTGGACGAACTGTATATGTTGGTAATCTACCTGCGACCGCATCCGTCGACGAACTTCTTAACTTGGTGCACTTTGGGCCCCTTGAGTCCATTCGCGTCCTTCCCGAGAAGTCCTGCGTTTTCTTGTCGTTCCTTGACGGCGCTACAGCGGCTGCGTTCCATGCGGATGCGACCATCAAGAAGCTTGCTCTGCATGGGCAAGAACTCAAAATTGGCTGGGGAAAGCCATCGCCGGTTTCCGCCCAAGTGAGCCTCGCTATTAGCCAGAGCAACGCCAGCAGGAACGTCTACCTTGGAGGTCTTGACGAGAACATGACGGAGGAGCAGCTTCGAGACGATCTTAGTCGCTTCGGACTGATCGATCAGGTCAAGATCGTCCGTGACAAGAACATCGGTTTCGTTCACTTCTTGAGTATATCTGTCGCCACGAAGGTTTGTCTCATTGAATCTAATCATAATTCCATACTAAGTCTGGTTGGTATGCAGGTGGTTGGAGCGCTCCCTCAGGAACCAGCTTGGGCTGGCAAGCGTGTCAACTATGGAAAGGACCGTTGCGCGTACATTCCAAAGTCGCAACAAGCAGCTGCTCAAGCTGCCCAGGCCGCCGCGGCGCAATCTCTTGTAGCACAATCTGCCACGTTATCGCCCGGCGCTGGCCCAGCGCACTTTGGAACGCCATTTTCACCTTACGCGCCGTTTTCACCTGATTCGCTGCATGGTATGGCAGGAACCCAAGCCCTCAACAGGACTGTGTATTTGGGCAACATCCACCCTGAGACTTCGACCGAGGATTTGTGTAATGCTATCAGGGGAGGTGTACTGCAGAGTGTTCGATACATGCAGGATAAACACATCGCTGTACGTCATCTTGCACCTGCTCCATCTAATTTTGGTGGCTGATGGTTACGGATCAGTTCGTGACGTTCGTCGATCCTGCGGCAGCGTTTACTTTCTTCCAAGTCGCTTCCTACCAGGGACTGACGCTTAACAACCGGCGTCTGAAGATCGGCTG